GAATTTAATTCAACATTCATGGAAAGAGAAGACTTATGTCTCAGCAGCAGTTACCAGGAATCTGGACTCTTCACTGGCATAAGAAAATTAACAAAGAAGCACTTTGAGAAAAACACCCTCCAGTATGGTAAATCAAATAGAACCAAGCAATTACAAGAGGTCCAGAACTACTAGTTTTACAATGGGAACATGGTCTCAAACAACTAACGCATAATTAAGAGAGAAAATAAAGAATTTACTGTAAAATAAAATCAGAGAGCACCTGGATAGCCTCAGGACTAGCATAGGTTCGAGGGGACTTCCAGTGATCTGCTCCAATGAGACAGAGTCTTGCACTATCCGAATATGACTCAAAATTTGCTTCCGCAACTAAGTAACATATATGGGCAGCAATTATCTGAAGAAACTCTCAAGTAAGATTCACAAATGTATACTTCCACTGATTGTAATAAGAATGCAATGACCATTGTGAAATATTACAGTACCTCACTTCTTTCTCTCCAAAGGCAATCTCCAAGATGAATAAGCACAAGCTCATCATCTTTGGTTCTATTTGCTGTTATTACAGCCAAATTTTCTTCCCAATCATCAAGCATGCAATTAGCCCCAAACTGTTTATAGTGAAAAAAATAATAATAATTCAGCTAGAAGCATTCAACCACCTAATGGAAAAGGCCTTCCAAATAAAGACAGTAACTTGAACACACATTCGCAATTATAAATCTGGGGGACAAAGAAGAAGAAGAAGAAGAAGATAACGGTAACAAATTAACAACAGCCAAATAAAAACAAATAGTTTCCAATGGTTAACATACACATTGAGCCAAAAGAACTAGCTAAATAAGATGATATGCTTATGGCAACTAATACTTCCATTAACTTCCCTTTTCTGATATATAACCTTTCCAATTGATATTTCATCAATAAATCCATCACCTGAGCAGGCTGTTGAGACATATTAATGCTATTAGCCATGCTGTCTTGAGAAAACACTTCGGCTGGTTGTCCAGCAATTAGCAGGCACAATGTCCGTAAAGGTGACCCTCGTACCAGCTGACGGAGTGCCATTTGCTTCACAGTATCGACATAGAACTGCATTTATCCAAAGTCAACAGTGAAACACACCAACAAGAATAAATGAGGACAAAGAGAGAATGATCCAAGCATTAGTAAACTGAAATTCTTCCCCAAATGTGAATATCCAGATATGTCAGGTGATATGCAAAACAGAAAACAAACCTGATCACCAAGTTGTGATGCAAGAACAAGTGCAGGTCCCCACAATTGACCTTCTTGTGCACATTGTAGAGCCTCATACTTTTTACCAGAGACCAGAAGATTCTGTACCTCTGAAGCAGTTGTCTAAAACACAAATAAAGAAAATATCATAACATTACCTATGGCAATAGTGAATTACTGCAGTATCTTTTAAATATATATATATATATATATACAGCAATGGATTTGTGGCATACCCGAATTTGCCCCTCAGAAGGCAATGGCTGCAAGCAATGACCAAGAGCACCATAATGTGTGCCATTCCTCTTTGCAGGTGCAAAGAGTTTAGCTACTGCTGATTCTGGAGTATCACTCTCCTACCAAAAGAAAGGAGGAAAAAATATAAAAATACAATAAAATAGAATGCGAAAGAAAGGAAAAATAATAGAAATTTATAAAAACCAGAACAACAGAGCAAACTATCATCTGGCCCGCTTCAGTATTAGTCCGGCCCCCTAATATACAATTACAAAGATAAAATGGGGTACTTAGACTAGAATCTAGAATATAATAAAATGCATCTCCCAAACATAAAATTATTCAGATAAAATGGGAAAATGCAGAGAAAATTATCACAATCAAATAAAAAGGTTAGGATGATGAAAAGAGGCATTTACCTTCATTGCCATGTCACTGCCAAAAGAAGATCGAAGTTTGCCGTAATGCTGGCAAGCTACTTTAAGCAAAGAGAGAAGCAACCTCAAAACTTCTCCTTTTCTAGGGTCCATGTCAGGTGATTCACCATTTGCAATTCTGTCATCAATCCATTTATTCAACTCTTTGCTTCCAACACTTCCACCAACCAATGGACCTGGGAAGGACTGTTGGCAAAGAGCACGAAAATAATCACACATTCCCAGTCCAGAAGCACAGCCACTTGTGTTTCCATTGACAATTTCCAACAAATTCAGAACAGAAATGGAGCCTCCTAGTGAACCCTTTACATGAAAATATGTATACATGATTAGTACTACAGGATATCAAGATCAAGCAAGTGTAAGGAGCAATTTGAAGGTGCCATGGGACTAATCAGGCCTAAGGTCCAAATACCCATGTTATCACCCAAAAAAAAAAAAAGGTATAAACAACAGTGTTTAGGTTTGCCATTTGAGAAATGTTCAGCCAGCCCTTTGATTGAAAAGGACCCTTTCTATTTTTGAAACCCAGGACAAGAAAAACAAGTCCAGAAATTATATGTTCTCACCTGAATCCTGGCAACCAAAATAGATAATAAAATAAACCAAATAGAAAACACTAGAGGTTCTAACCTGGCTACTAAATGATGAGTTCTGTATAGAACTCGCATGTTTCATTACAATAAGCTTTCCACCAAATCCAAAAGTAACCAGGGCATGTGGAGGACGGCCAGCAGATGATCTTCCTATGTCAGAAGCATAAGGAAACTGCTGACTGCCATGGAATGGTTGTTGAGCAACATTTACATGCTTCTGACTGCCATAGAAATCATTTGAGAAATGCATTTGTTCATTTTGCATCACATTTCCCTGATGTAACTGCTGATTAAACTCCTGACTAGGGACAAAGCTTCTAAACCCAATAACACCATTATCCCCACTATAACCATGATTTGCTTTAGCAGGCAACTGAACTTCTGGTAGAGAATTAAAAGATGATTTCTGTTGATGGTTACGCAAAGACATCTTTGAATGAAAAGAATCTTCCAATTGCCAATTCCCAATAGAACTTGCAACAGCCTCAGTCTTCACAGAAGCCGCAGGTTGCCACATATTTAAACCCTGATTATTATTGTTATTGTTGTAATGACTATGATTTTTGTCCCAGCTGCTATTTTGCCTTTGGCCATCAACACCTTGTGACTCAAAATTATTGGCTTGCCCATACTCACTATATATACCATTGTTATTACTGTGAGCATACCCACCCAAAGAAGAAAATCCATTTAGGTTCTGCTGATCAAGAGCTTGAATGGTGGGCTGAGTGGGTGTCTGAAAAGATGAATTGTAGCTCTCCAAAGTGCGCCATTCTTGAGCAATGGTGTCATAGTACCAACCTGGGTATTGAGGGTCGAAAACCATATGCTCTGGGTACCCATTATTCATCTCTGAAACCTGATTCCAATTTGCAACACTTTCTGTGGTACCATTCTCTGCAGTTGTCACACTCCCTGAAACAGACTGAGTCACCTGCTGCAAATAGGAAATCTCTGATTTCCCATTGGAAGTCCCCATCCAATCACCTGTGGAAATCCCATAGCTTCCTTGAACACCCCCCTCATAACCATCCACCTGATACCACTGTCCAGTATTTGTATCAAACTTCCATCCCGGATACATATTTTCCCAATCCTGACTGCTATTCTCATCCTGCCCATTTCCACCATCCCCAACAGATGCTCCATGATCTTGACCCTCCTGATACTGCCCATAATTGAAAGAATTTTGATCTACACCATTAACTAAGTTTTGATTTAACCCATTAGTTTTTGCAGTTTCCTCCACCATCCCAGGAAAATCCTTGGAAGAACTGTCACCTAAACCGTTAAAAAAATCAAATCCCTGCTCCCCATTCTGGATAGAATCTGCATAAAACGAACTCCATCCTACTTCCTTAACCCCAGAATTGACAGATCCAGTGCTCTTGCTCATATCTGAATCCGGTGGGACCTCTGTTGCTCCCTCTTCACGATTATAATTACAGGAATCCAAAACGCTATCATCAAATCCTAACGAATCATTATTACTTTCGCTAACAGCTGCATTAAATGGCTCTGGAGCTGAATCCCCTAGATCTTTTCCTTTTTCCTTCTCGTTCTCATTTTCACCGATGGAATCTTCGCCAATACTTAAATTAGAAAAGGCTCTCGCATCGTCGGAATAATCGCCCTCCTCGAATTTCGTGGCGGTGTGGCCCATCCTATTGCCGTCGTCGTCATTAACCAACCTGTCAAAGAAATCCTCGTCTGTATCCTCCACCTGAATTGGAGGATTCGAAGCCATCGACGGAAGAAACCAACAACCACCACCACTCCTAACGATCTAACAACAGAATCAAAAACCTCGAAATCTCCACACAATGACACACACAAATCCTGTCTCCCAAACCACAAACAGTTGGAATCTGAGCTGATACAATTACACGAAGAGCGTGATCCAACAAACCAAAACCCTGAATCGGAAAAAGGATAATGACCCAGAAAGAAGCGAGATCTAGGGTTTTGAGATCTCCGCCATTCTACGACCATAAATTGAAATCCAAAATGCAGGAATTCGGGGGAGAAAAAACAATAACCAACAGGATGAATTGAATGCAAAGAAATGTAAAGAACTTACAGATTCAGGTGAAAATTGCAGAGCAAAAGGAAGGAGGAGAGACCTGGATTTTCGCACCACCCACCCAACCAACGGAGGAAGAGAGAGCTTGGCGGTGTTATTTTCAGTTTTGTATTAATTTCATTTTTTTTCCTGTTTGTTTTTTTTGTTATCATTAACGTATCCAGTAACACATTGTACACTAATTAACTTGAAATCAAGTTATGATTCGCAATTAAAAACTCTTTCAATTCTTATTTATTTATCTGTAATATTCGAAACTTAAAATTTTATTTTAAAAAAAAAAAACTTATTTCTTTTCACTCCTACCAACGAAATAATTGATTTCTTTTGTTAATTACTTCTAACACTTGAGCTATGAGTTTAATAACAACAAATCACGTATAAATGTATTTTTTACCTTCAAAACAACAAATTTGAATTACGATCCATGCGAATTTATTTTAAAATATATATATTAATCCAAGTTTTCTCTTCGGTTTTCTGTCCTCATTATTAAACTGTTCTTGACGGCTGTCACTGTATAATATTAATGTTGACGTCTCATTACTAATTTTTTTTTTTAAAGTCTCATTACTAATACTCCGTCTGTTCCTAAATATTAGTCGTTTTAGGCATTTTCACCAGGATTAAGAAAAGCAATTAATCACTCTCAATTTGAGCAATAAATATATTTAAAGTACTATTTTACCCTTTTTTTCATTTTGATTCTTGCGTTTTACTGGTTCATCTTTGTGGGTAGCTGTAAATTTGGAAAAAAAAAGTTAATGCAGCATTAAAATCTTAAAACGTCAAATAATTAGGAACAAATTTTGGCCGCTAAAACGACTAATATTTCGGAACAGAGGGAGTAATAACTAAAATCAATCATAAAATTTTACTACAATTCCCCAAAAACCATTGAATTTGGGGTATGGTCACACGAATTTATTTTGACTTGATTGATATTTTATTAATCTATAATAATTTTTTAAAAATAATTTATAATGTTTAAAATTTTCACTTTATAAATCAATTTTAATTAATTTAATAATTATATTAATTTATTAATTATTAATTATTTTTAAAAATAAAATAAAATTTATATTTTAAAAATAATATTATATTATTTTAATATTTTCATGTATGACCATAACTATATCTTATTTTTTATGGTTTTAAAAAGTTGCATATTCTCCTTCCTAATTACTACAATTACTTGTCATCTAAATAAATTACAATAATAACTATTAAAATTTAAAAAGTTTGAACAAAACTCATAAAGAGAAACTTAAACTTGTACGTAAGGATTAAGTTAGTATAAAAAACTATTTTGTATAGTAATTTGAAATAAAGAGTAATGATTTTTTAATTCAATAAATAAGAATATTTATAATAATTATTATTATTAAATTAAATTAAATTAAATTATTAATTATTAATTTTAAATTACTATAACAAACAACCTCCGGACTTTCGTGTTGTTGTCGAGTTTTAACATTGCCAGCACAAGGATTTTTTTATCGATTTTGGCTAAATATATTGAGTACAAAATAAGTAGTAAAAATCCTAATAAAAATGTCAAAATCTTGAAAGATTTCTTATATAAATCCTTCTTATGTTGAAGAAAGTACAAAGATGGGTTGTTGTTGTTTTTTTTTTTTTATGGGACAAAAATGGGTTGTTGAGATATTTAAATATAACAAATAATTAATGAAGTGGGAAAGTTTGAAGGGTTTAGATTAAAGATTTCTTCCTTTTATCACCAGTGTTTTTAAAAGACAAAAAAACAAAAAGTTTGGTGCAATTGAGCTGTTTTGACTAATGCGTAGTTCAGATTTGACTTGTGCAATCAATCATTCATTTCCTTCTTGGTCCTAGAAAGCTCGACCTAACCTAGCTAAATATATATGTTAGTATATGATCTAGTGGACATAATGATAATGGGCTTTCCCATCTCAAAAAAAAAAAAAGATAAAGGGCTTTAAGCCTTTAAGGTCTGAGTTGGGCCTTAAAGCCTCATTCTAGACTTAATTAAAGTGGCAGTCTTATACTACTTGTTGGACATAACAGTACCAACCCAACTCTGCCCCTTTTTTTCCAAACAACGACCGCATCTTTGAAGAAATACTTTGCTAAGATTACTGTCATCTCATGTTTATACTTTGTTTTTGTCCTATTTTATTATTTCAATTATCATTATTCTTAGATTATTTGTCCATTAATTGCTATTAGTTTGTATTTCAACTTCAGTTGGTTAGACACAACAATCAGTACCAGATCCAATATGTTATTGTACAATCAATATGATGGAACTACCTATATATGGACAAAAAAAAAAAGGAAAAAGAACTACACTACCCATCTTTCCATTCTGAATCATAGACATCTTGGTACTATGGACAAAAGAATGAACATTTTTCATTATATAATTTAAAATAAAACACTCTACTATACTTTTTTATAAGAAAATACTTTACATTTTTTATGAAGAGATTCATGTTATTTTAGTGGGAATTTATATAGTAGTAAAAGTGTAGTTTTTTTTTTTTTTTATAAGGGCAATAGTTAGTAAGTTAGTATTGTTAAATGTTAGCAATTGAGGATTCAATTCTCAAATTTGGTGAATAGCCCACCTACCTCAATGAGACACACGACCATCGAGCCACTTGCTGAAGTTCAGTAAAAAGAGAGGAGTTTGGGAAAAAAAGGGATTATTCTTGTTAGATAATTAATCATTTGAATGTACAAAAAAAATATAATTTTCATATTAAAATTATTAAAATATTATTAATAAAAAAATAAAAAAAATTATTTAAAATATTTAATAAATAATGTTGCAAAAAAACAAGA